GCCTGCCACCTGCATTTCCTGCACATTTGCCAGATGCTCTCTGGGCGTCTCCTGGCAGGGGAGCAGGCTGCGCAGCTGAGGTCCTGACTGCCTGGGTCTCGTTCTTGTCCTCTGGTGACTTTGCTGCCACAACCTGCTGTTTCTGCACTGGGTGACCAGCTCTCTTGTGGCTTGGCTCTGGGAAGACAGGCCAGGCTCTTGGGCCATGTTGGTGTCCAGGTGTCCATTGCCCTGCCCCCCCCTCCCCCACCGCTGGTCACAGCCTTAGATCAGAGTGGGCAGGTCACACTCACATGGTTTCCTCACCTGCTAGAACAAACAGCGGGTGTTCATGGGGACACGGGGGGGGGGGCTGTCATATCACAGTCCCAGGGCAGGCTTCTGTCATCCCCTACGGGTGTGTGTCTGCAGACTCTTGGTTCCTGAAATCTCGTGATGCGCTCTGGTGGCAGGTAGGAGTCATGGACGTGGACGCCGAAAGAGAGAAAATAGCAAAGGAGATTGAAGAATTAGAAAGGATCTTGGATCCCAGCTCCTCGAGTATCAGCGTGGAGGTCTCGGAGTCTGGTCTTGCACTGGATTCCGAAGCAGGTGAGCTTTCATAGGCCGTGGCTAGACCGATCCATCTGCCCTCTGGCCCCTGGCAGCCACAGCAGGCTGCGGACCAGCCGTTTCTCGCGCAAGCCGGCCTCTGCCTTTACTCCCCGCGATGGTTTCTCTCCGCCCCTCCTCCACGTGCCCTGGACCTGCCGGCTGCGCACGAGTGCCCTTCGGGGGCATCTGTGTCACTCTGTCCCAGGTGGGTGGCCGGCTGCCCTTCCCAGGAATCAGATGGTTCCAGAGCTCAGCTTGTCGGCCACCTCTGTGCCGGACAGCCACCATGCTGGACAGCTGAGAGTCACCCCACAGCCTCCCCTGGGCCCCCAGGCCTGCCCACCTCTCCCCAGCCCCAGGTGCAGCTCTAAGTCTGTTTCTCAGAGTTTCTGACCACACTGGGGCCTTTCTCTCACCTACGATCAGGGCCTCTGCACCTGCTCCCCAGCCCCCAGTAGCTCCAGCTCCCCCGAACGGGTCTGTTCTTGCAAGGCTTCCCCTCATTGCCCTGGTGGACCCTGTTCTCTGTGTCTTCCCTTCCTGGCTGCCCCTGCCCTTGGCTCAGGGCCTGTCCTGCCTGGTTAGTGGGTGAGAGCCACCAGCCCTCAGGGAGGGAGGGTCCAGGCAATACAGTCTTGTCCTGAGGCCTTTCGGCCCTTCCCTCGCCTGTGGCTATCAGGAAACAACCCTGTGCTGCACCTGCCGGTCGTTTCTTTGGCGGGTATTGCATCCCATCACATCCCCAACTTGCGTCCCCTGTGCTTGTGTTCCCACAGACTCGCTGCCTGAAGAGGACTCGGACGCTGCCGGCTCCCTGGCCTCGGTAAGTACCGGCCTGAGCTGGTGGAGCCCGCCCAGGCAGTTGCCACCCTGCCAGTGGGCCCAGGAGGGCAGTGCTCTGAGCTCGTCTTGATTTTTCTGCGTGCTCGTCACTGAAGATGACGTATCCCAAAGTATTTGTTACCAAAACGGAAATTGTCCCAAGAAACGACTCTTGTTAGTAGCTGGGGATTTACGCCTGCCGGCTTTCTGAGCTCTCCGTAACGTGTGTGGCTCGATCTGACGTCACGTGCGGAACGGTCCGAGCAGGCGAGGCTGGCCCCTCGTAGCTCCCTCTCTCTGCCTCAGTCCTTGCAGGCACGGTCCTGGGCGGTCACACACGTGGGCCCGCTGTAGACTGAGGCACAGAGAGGAGCTCTCTCTCTGTGGGGGGAGAGAGAGAGAGAGAGAGGGATCATGATCTCACAGTTCAGGAGATTGAGCCTGCGGGGGTGGGGGGGGAGAGAGAGAGCAAGCGAGCGAGCGAGAGAGCTACGAGGGGCCAGCCTCACCTGCTCGGATCCTTCCACACACGACGTCAGGTCGACCCACGCACGTTACGGGGATCTCAGAAAGTCGAGAGGCGTAAATCCCCAACTAGGCCACTCCAGTTTTTGTTGCCACTTCTGGTTTGTCTTAGAATCTCACGTCAACCTGGAGAATTTTTACAATCCGCTTTTCAGTTTTTCACTGAGGCAGGAGGTACAGCTTCGCTTCCTGGTTTCAATGAGCGGTGGTCCCCGTGGCATAGGCTTCCCGTAGTTCCTCACCTGCTGGGCAGCGAGCAGCCTCTTCCCGGTTCTTAGCTTTGCCGGCCCTGTGATGGCCTTCCTCACTCGTGTTCTTGCTCACTGTCCCCTGCCGGGGGCGGAGGCCTGTGGGCCCGTTCTGAACTTCAGGTTCACCAGAAACATTTATCGTGGAAGGTGAAAAGCGCTCACCTCCTCACGTCTTCCCACCTGAGACGTTCCTCCAGACATTGATTTTCTCGTGTCCTTGATTGTGGCCTATGCACACGCTGTACGTGGCCCCAACCCTTGTTGGCCCAGTGATGGGCATGAGCTCAGAGGCTGCTTGTGCTGCCCGGGTCACGGGGGGCGGGTCTGCAGGCCCCCCCGCCTCACCCGTAGTTCCCCACTTGTGATCAGGAAGAGGAGAGGTGGGGAGAGGCCAGCAATGGCGAGGACGACCCCAAGAAGACCCTCCCTGAAGACCCAGAGACCTGCCTGCAGTTGAACATGGTCTACCAGGAGGTCATCCAGGAGAGGCTGGCAGAGGTCAGCCTCCTGCTGGCCCAGAACCGGGAGCAGCAGGTAGGACGGGCCCTCGGCACCCCCGTGGCCAGGCGCCCCAGGACTAGTGCTTCTGGTTACGTCTGCTCCCTGGCTGCCCCGGTCGCCTTCTCCACAAGGGCATCGCTGCTGCCTGGCCCCAGATGGGCTCCCTGTGTCTGTCACAGGAGGAGATCATGTGTGACCTGGCAGGGTCCAAAGGCCCCAAGGTGAAAGACGGCAAGAGTCTGCCCCCGAATCTGTACATAGGGCACTTCATGAAGCCCTACTTCAAGGACAGGGTCACCGGAGTGGTGAGTAGCCGGGGCTCCACTGTCACCCATGAGGGAGGGGCAGGCTGCGTGGGAAGGGGCTCTTCTCCCAGCACCTGCTGTGGGTGTTGTCTGTTCCTTCGTGTTCTTCGGGACAACGTTCTCCGATCTTCCTAAAACCTTTTGGTGTCTAGTGGTGGAAGTCAAGGTCTGTGGCCCTGGAATGTGGTCTCTGGGCCTGGAACGTGGTCTCTGGGCCTGGAATGTGGCACGCTGACCCCGGCTCCACGGATAAGCCCCAGAGACATTTCCTTAAGGAGGGGCACCTTGGGTGGGGCTCATTGGCCGGATCGGAGAGGCCTGGCAGCGAGGGCTGGAGCTGCTGAGCCCGCCCGTGCCGGCCGGGTCATGCTCACGGCCGCTCGGAGTCCAGCGCTGGGCCCAGGTGTCCACTGCCAGGCCTCACACATGGCCAGGCTGCTCGAGGAGGCCGAGGGGAAGCGCGGGCCGTGGGGCGAGAGCACTCGGCGTCCGTCCGCGTCGTGACACTGCCCTGTCTGGCAGGGGCCTCCAGCCAACGAAGACACGCGGGAGAAGGCCGCCCAGGGCATCAAGGCTTTCGAGGAGCTCCTGGTGACTAAGTGTAAGCCCCTGCGCCAGGCCCTCGGCGCCACAGCCGTGCCTTTCCACAGGCACCCTCCTCTGGTTCCGTGGGCTCCTTCGGGCCTTGACCGCTGGGACCGGCCACTCAAAGCCCCAGCCTGTCCCACGTGCCATGTGGGGACCACCATCCCCACGGCTCACTGTGTAGTCTCACGTGTCTTATTCCTGAACACACAGCCCCAGGGGCCCTTCCGTGAGCTTGGGCCAGGGCGTCGTGCTCGCTCAACAGCCGGGTTGGGATACCCGGCCGGCGCTGTGGTTTTGGAACAGTCACGTGCCCACCACTTGGTCGAGGGGAAGTCGGGAAGGCTCTGCTGATGCCGTCGTTTCTTCTCAGGGAAAAACTGGGAGAAGGCCTTGCTCAGAAGGTCAGTGGTGAGCGACCGCCTACAGCGCCTGCTTCAGCCCAAGTTACTGAAGTGAGTGTGAGAACAGCCGCGGGCGCCAGCCTCGCCGGGAGCGCGAGGGGTCCAGGCCGGAGGCTTGGTGACAGGCAGACGCTTGGTGTGGCCGTGTCCCCCTGCTCCCGTAGGAGAGGCGCTGGCCCCTGAAACTTTTCCCCAGGGAGGCAGCCGAGCTCGAGGCCAGGCGTGCAAGAACCGGGAAGGCCAAGTGGCCGCGTTCAGTCAGGCGCAGCTCGGGTAGTTTCTCTGGTCTCGGGCTCAGTTTCCACTTGTGAAAATCGGCACTGCTCACGAGACCCGCTTTTTGTGTGCCGAAGGGGTGATGTCGTGTGAACGGATCGCAGCGCCTGTGGCCGGGCCGGGAGTCTTGGGGGCTGCCCGCAGTCTCGTGGCTCCACGCGTGGGTCAGGACTCGCCTCAGTGATGGGTCCTCTCCGCTGGCCTCCGGAAGGGGTTCCTGCAGGCTTTGTCGCCAGGCTGCCCTCGGAGCACGTCCCTGCACGCCTTGCCCAGGGCTGGTGGCTGGGCCGCTGAGCTGGTGGCGGTTATCGTCTGCGTCGGCAGACTTGTTGCGCTAGTCACTGACGTGACCGTGGTGACAGCCCAGAGAGGGGTGTCGCTGGCTGCTTCCTCTGGGCATGGAGCTCGGACAGCCTTCTGCCTGCAAGGGGCAGGCTCAGAGCCGGGACCAGGCTCCTGTGTGTGCTCCCTGCCACCGGGCCTCATCGTGTGGAGCGGTGCACGTGCCCCGGTGCCCGGGGAGGCCGAGCTGGCCCCGGAGACACCGCCCCCCTCCCCCCGGGACACGGCCCTGATGCGAGTAACCCCAGTGCCTCTGCTCTGCCCCGTAGGCTTGAATACTTGCACCAGAAACGGAGTAGGGTGACCAGTGAGGCAGAGAGGCAGGTCCTGGAGAAGCAGAGCAGAGAGGCGGAGAAGGAGGTCCAGGACATCCGGTGAGCTGGGTCTTCTGGGGAGGGTGTGACCTGGGGAGAGGCGAGGAAAGCCAGGCGTGACCCTGGCGACCTGTTCCTTCCTCCAGGGAGCTCCCAGAGGAGACCTTGCTGGGGAACAGGCTGGATGGCCACGACTGGGAGAAGATCTCCAACGTTAACGTAAGTTGGGGCGGTGCTGAGGCAACAGCGGCCTACGGCCGTCCCGGCAGCCGGGGGCGTGGGTCAGCTCTAGGCGGTCAGGCCCCATCCCTGTGGCCACTAGACCTGCCTTGAAGCCTCCGGTCGGGTGCGTGTCCAGCAGTGTGGGGTGGCCTCACGGGCTCGCCCCGCTGGGGCGACGTGGCTCTTCTGAAATGGGAGGGTGTGAAGGTTCAGGCTTTGCGCTGGGAGCCCGACCCCCACTCTTGGTTGTGCAAGTCCTGGCGACCTGGACGAGGACCCCACTTGTCCCGGGTGCTGAGCCATCACGGCCAGCCATCAGAGGGACGGCCCCCCGCAGGCTGGCTCTCTCTCTGTCGGTGCAGTTCGAGGGCGGCCGCAGCGCAGAGGAGATCCGGAAGTTCTGGCAGAACTGTGAGCACCCGAGCATCAACAAGCAGGAGTGGAGCGGGCCGGAGGTCGAGCAGCTCAAGGCCATCGCAGCCAAGCACGGCCACCTGCAGTGGCAGAAGATCGCCAAGGAGCTGGGGGTGAGGGCCGGAGGGGCCTCCGAGAGGCTGGGAGGGGCCGGGCGGGTTTGGGGTCTCCGCGGGCCGCGTGGCACATCTCACCCTGGGAGCCATCAGGTTCTTCTTGGTGCCACTTTGGAGGGTGTGGCCCCGGGGGCAGCAGCCCCTCCCCCCTCCCACGGCAGAGTCTCCAGGAGCTTCTAGCTCCTTGGCCCCCATCCCGTCTCTGAGTGCTCACTCGCCCTCCCCCGCCCCTCCAGGCCTGTCTTTGGCTTCCTTCCAGATCCTCCTTCCTTGTCCCCGTCAAGCCCGGGGGTTCGTTCTGATGGGGCTTAAGGGGAACGCTCCTGGTTTCTTCCAGGGTCTCGCGTTGGTTTTCTCGTTTCCGAGGTGAAGGCTAAAAGGGCTTCGTTCAGTCTGTCTTTACTCACGAAGGCGTTTAAGGCCTGCTTTTCTGAGAACAGCTTGCTGTGAGCTCTCCTCTTTGTAGGTTTCTAGGACGGGTCTGATTGTGGGCGTTTTTCATCACGTCTTTGGATCTTAGTTTACGTAAGAATGTGCTCTGTCACTCTCTCTGTGGTTCGGTTTCTTGAGATATCTTGTATTATTCCCCGGTTTGAGTTTTGCTGGTTCACGACCTGGGAACGTGATCCGTGCAATCTCCGTGGTATAACTTACTGCTTTCGTAGACCAGCACGTGACTGCAGGGAACCACAGTGACGTTAACCAAGGCCGCGCGGAACGTGTGTTTAAGGGTCCTCTGTGTCTTCTCCCGGCTCGACCGCTTCTTTCTCCTTAGCGCTGACGTCCCCTTGTCTGGATAAAGCGTGGTTCGCCCACCTGCTGAAGGGCATCCTGGTCGCTCCAGGGTCCCGCGATTGTGAATGAGGCGGCTGGTAACATCTGTGCGCAGGTGTCTGGGTGGACGTGAGTCTTGCACTCGTTTGGGTCAACACCAAGGAGCAGTCGTGTGCCAAGAGGGTGTTTGGTTCTGTAGGAAGCCACCAAACAGTCCTACGGACTGGCTGCCCCGCGCCGCGTAGCCCTCGCCACGAACGAGAGTCCCGCCACCCCACGTCCTCACCGGCGTGTGGCCGTGTCAGGGCTCCAGGCTCCAGCCGTCCTTGCAGGGGTGCGAGGGTGGCTGCTTTGCTTTTGCGTTTCCCTGACGATAAACGGCGCTTTATTGCTCGTTTGTGTGTCTTCGGCAAAGGGTCTGTTGAGGTTTTCGGTTTTTTTTTTTAATTTTTTTTTTTTTTTTTTCTTTCAACGTTATTTATTTTTGGGACAGAGACAAGAGCATGAATGGGGGAGGGGGCAGAGGAGAGAGGGAGACACAGAATGGGCTCCAGGCTCTGAGCCATCAATGAAGAGCCTGACACGGGGCTCGAACTCAGGACAGCAGATGCGTGACCTGGCTGGGAGTCAGGATAACAACGACTAAACCACCAGAAAGCGCCGGTGTTTTTTTTAAGTGTTTGAAGAAAAGAAGGGCGCGTTAAGAGAAACCTGCATTACAGGGGGAGGGGAGACAGAGGAGGAGAGAAGTCCCAAGCAGGCCTCCGCACTGTCAGTGAAACCCGATGCAGACTCCATCTCGTGAAGTGTGGTAACCGCGACCAGTGACAGAAATCAAGTCGGGGCAGCTCAATGACTGACAAACCTCAGAGCTAGCGTTTGCTTAGCGTTTCGTAGTCAGATTGTTATTGAGCTTCAGGACTGTTCTGCGTGTTGAAATGCTTGCGGTCCTTTATCAGAGATGGACGTGTTCTGCAGATGTTTCTCCGTCTGTGACCGGTCTCACTTTCCTGGCGTTGTCCTAAGCGAGGGTCCTCTGTTGTTTTCACGGTCAGCCGACTCACGTTCTTTCAAGGATAAATTGAGAGAATCACGCGCATGGTGTCATTGTCTAAAGAGCATCGTCACACCCAGTCCCACTGAGCAGACTTCTTGGCGTCTGTCGGGTGTCGTGGCGTCTTCTGTGACTCAGGAGTCTTCTTTGAGGAAAAAAAGAGGGTTGAGATGCGTCAATTAGCTCTTGGGAAACTCCCTCCCAAGAGCGAGTGAGGACGGAATGCAAGGCAGCCAAAAGTCGGCCCAGTGTAGGCTAGTGAATTAATGGTGCTGAGCCGCGGCGTGTGATGACGGGGGTCCAGTAAGCCCCAGGCCCTGGGAGGGCGCCTCAAGAGACACAGGTGCTGCCTGCCTTCTAAGCCGTCCCCGCACTTTTGACAGCGTCAGCCCAGCTGCCCCATCGTCTGGGTGGACCACGGAGGCTTCAGAGGCAGCCCTTTGGGGCCCCAGGACTAGGCAGCAGGCAATTCCCGACCCACAAGCCCTTGGCGCGCTCTCTCGCGGCGCCTCCCCGGATCGTCGTGCTAGGCTGGCCCCGATGACACCTCGGGGCAGCTCTGGTGTCCGCGATGAGAGCGTCATGAGATGTTTCTGGACTTATGCTCTGCATGATCAAGTGGCTCCCCATCTGGTGCTTAGCAGCCGTCTCCCATGCCCAGAGGCAGCCCTCGCCCGTCCTCCAGGAGCTCTGGTGCGAGAAGGCGGTGGTGGCATTAGCGACTAACTGCCTGGCGGGCCCCTCCCTTGACTGGCTTCGCCGGAAGTAACACTGCAATAGCACTTGACCCCGGAAGACCGACATGGCGCCTTCAAATGCCTACAGAGTACCAGCAGCCTAATGAGGGCTCTGGAAAGCATGAGGGGAGTGGACCCCAGAGGAGAGACCACCTGCTCACCCCAACTCATCTCTCTTGAGTCTTGGCGTCGGCAGCCACATCCCCTGCAGTGGAGTCACGCAGCCCACATGGCCCCTGCCAGCTAGGCGCCCCCTAAGCACCCAGGCCAACCCCCCCAAATTATGGAGGCCTTTCGGTCCCATGAGCTGCCACCTTGGTCAGCGCGGTCAGTGCCCACACCGCCCTCCGTCCCCCAGTTGTCTACTACATGGAAGGGAGGAGCTCCATGCAGCTTCATGGTGGACCAGAGCTTGGACCCCAACCTGAAGAAGGGGCTCCTGGGCCCAGGAGGAGGGCATCTGGTGAGTCCCAGCTGCGGGAGGCAGGCGAGGCGAGAGAGCCGTCCTTGGACCTTCTTCCTTGGGACTGGCCGGAGAGGTGCTGCCCAGGGGAGTCCACGGCTGCCACTGGAAACGCATGTAATAAACTGGTTTGCCGATCACTCACCGCGAAGTTGCCAGGGCTTTTGCGTGCCAGAAATGCGAGGGAGCAGGATTGGTTTAAAATCCGGGAAGAGGTGCCAGGTAGGAGCGATGCCCAGTGCCGAGATCGGTGAGTTGGACCCCGCTGGGTGAGGGGGGCCTCGCCGGGGCCGCTTCCGGGGGGGCCGGTGGGTGGGCTGCTGGTGGGGGGTGGGCCGGGGGGGTGGTGACCGGTAGGGAAGCAGGATGGCTGCTGTTTTTCCAAGCGTGAGGTGGCCCCTGGTTGGCAGTGCCTCTGAGCCTGTCGTCCAGGTTCCTCCGCCAGAGCCCTGACGGGCCAGGGCCCTGGAGGCAGCCTCGGCCGCCTCGTGTCAGCTCGGGTGTCCTCATAACGTTTCATCAGAACGTAATCTGTGCAGCGTCCGGCGCCTTCACTCAAAGGGTCCCGTCCTGTGGGTTTTGGTGCATCGACTGAGCGGTGCGGCCCGACACCCGCATCAACCTAGGACATTTGACCCCCCTACAAAGAAACCCTATGTCCCAACAACAACAAAACGGATGAGGACGGGGCCTCACGCAGACCTTTCTCCAGAGAGGAAATGGAAAGATGCTTGGCGTCACCGGTCATCGGTCGTGGGGGAGATAACAGGTCACGGCAGCAGCGAGAGACCACTTCACATGTGGCGGGACGATTGTCTTAGGACAGTTCTGGAAAAGAGGAGGTGCCGACACGCGTGTGGAGAAAGCACGGCCCTCGTGTGTCCGCGGAGCGCAGCGTGGTGCAGGCGCCGTGGAAGACAGTGGAGGGTCCTCAGGAAATGGAGCGAGTGTTTGTGTCGTCCTGAGAGCAGGGCCCCAAACGGGCACACGTACACTCGTGTCCACAGCCACGCCGGTCGGTCACTGGCCACGGGGCGGAAACAGCCGATGTCCGGCGGGAAGAACAGGGAAGCCACAGGTGTGGTTCTGAAATCGGATGGACGTCACGATGTCATTCAGCTGTAAAACAAACGAAATCCAGGGGCGCCCGGCTGGCTGGGACGGTGCCGCGTGGACTCTCCATCTTGGGGTCGTGAGTTTGAGCCCCCGTTGGGGGTGGAGATTCCTTCACAAGATAAACAGACGCAGTTTTGACACGGCAGCGCGGATGACCTCGGAGACGTGAACGTGTGTGCGGAAGTACGCGTGCGGACGGACAGTCGCTGCTCTCAGTGCGCGCCCAGGAGCGGGGTTTTCGGTCACGCGGTGACTTTTTCCTTGGCGGCGGCAGTCGTGGGGCCGCGGTGTCTGCACGCCCTCGCCGGCTCCTGTGCGTCTTCCGGATTGCAGGCGGCTCAGTGGGTGTGCCGTGGCATCTCGGGTGGTTTCACCTTGCATCTCCTGGACGGCCCGCGATGCGGGGCGTCCGCGTGCTAACCGGCTGTTTGCGGATCCTGTCTGCAGGAATATCCACTCGTGTCGTAAAGCTTTTTTATTTTGAGAGAGTGGGAAAGCCTGAGCGGGGGAGGGGCAGAGAGAGGGGGAGACAGAGCAGCCCAAGCAGGATCCATCCTGTCGGCGTGGAGCCCGATGCGGGACTGGAACCCACGAACTGTGAGGTCGTGACCTGAGCCGGTCAGTCAGTCAACCAGCTGAGCGGCCCAGGCGCCCCTCATTGGCCCCTTCAAGAACTGGAGCTGTGTTTGTAGCATTGGCTTGTTAGCGTTCTGGCCAGGGGTCCCTTAGTGGACACGACGCTTGCCTGGCAAATTCTCGCTGCCAGCGTGTGGGTTGTGTTGTCACTTTCTCCATGGCGTCCCGTGAGTCGCCTTGAAAGCTTTTACTTTTGATGACGCCCAGCATCTTAGCTAGCCTAGGGGATGAGACCCGCTGACGGTCAGGACGGTCAGAGGGAGCCTGCTACCTCAGGGTCAACAAGGCACCTTTCCCTTGCTAATTAGCTCCCTCTGGGCAACTTCACCCGGCAGGGATCTCTGGCCCCGTTGACCTGTTTGCCTAACTTGGTCCTTGCTTCCTGTGAAAGCAGCTTTCTGCTGTGGCACTAAGTTGGGGCTTGTCCCCAAGCTGAATATTGAATCTCGTTTACCTCATATACCTTTGTATGGGGGCCTGGGCCCCGCCCTCCCCATATCTATTTACCTAATGCTGTTCACCTCCCCTTGGACATTTTCGTCCCGAGAGCCCCTCTTCCTGTGCCTTTGTCCTACACTGGGACCTTTGTCCCACTTTGCCTAATCTCCTTTACCCAAACTTGGGTGCGAACATCCTGTGGCTTTCTAGTTTCTCACGCCTTGTTAACCCGTCCTGCAGGCTCAGGGAACTCCGAAGCTTATTCCCCCACAGTCTAGCTTACAGTTTTCGTTTCGTTTGTCACCGAGCTTCTGGTGCCGGGACAGCGCGGGACAGTGCGGGAGGGCGTTCTGGCGCCTGACGCTGCCTGTGTCCCTGCTGCTCTCAGGTACCTCAGAAGGCTGCACTTCGGCCTGAAGAAGGGGCGATGGAGCGCAAAAGAGGAGGAGAAGTTGATGGAACTGATAGAAAAGTACGGCGTCGGTGAGTCCTTGGCCCGTTTGCTCCCCGGGTCTCTGCTGCCCCCGGGTCCTCAGCCGGCAGCGGCGGCTTTTCCTTCTCACAGACCGATGCACGGTCAGCGTCGAGTCGAGAGCGCCACGGGCACCAGGGGGAGAGCTGTGCCGCCGGCCGCGCGCCCCTGCCCCATCCTCTCTGGGCCCGTTTCTAGGGCGGCTTTTGAAAGTTGCATCGTTCGGCACGATGTAACCGCATTGGCTGTTTTGTGCCCTTTTGTCGTCCGTGGCGAATGTTTTCTGCCTTTACGCGTCCCCGTGGCTTTCGACGACCGTGTCGTATGTCCCGAGTGACGACACACGAGTCTCCCAGCCCGCCATCCGCTGGCGGACAGCTGTCTCCCTTCTCGGCCGCGGCCAGAAAGAGCTGAGGGTTCAGTAGCCGCGTCCTCACTCCTGTTGGCAGCGTCTCCTTAGGAAAAGTCCCAGACGCGGTGGTGCTGAGTGCGGGTGCATGCCGAAACCTGACCTCCGTCCCACAGGGTCACGCTGTCCGTGAAACCAGGGCACCCGTGCTCTCCCACCAGCGCTGTCCGGAAGGAAAGAAGAGACCGTTTTAAATGTCGGGTTTGAAGCCTGAGCGTGGCGGACACGCGAGGGCCGTTTTTACATGAGCGTGGACGGCTTTTTCTTTCTGGGATGTGCATTCTCTAGAATTTTGTTAAAGGGCTGATTGTCCTTGGAGAACCGGATGCCCTGCGTGTCATTGAGCTGCTCAGATGTGGGGCGCGGTGTGCAGGTGACCGGGAGACCCCGTGCTGACGGAATACGACGCAGGTCCTCTGTGGGAGACAGCGCGTCTCCTGGAAGGGCGCTTTTCAAGCTGGTAGACGCGTTGTCGAGCATCGCGTGAAACGGCTTCTGTGTCGTTTTGCCTCCATAGGTCACTGGGCAAAGATAGCTTCGGAGCTACCCCATCGGACGGGCTCCCAGTGTCTGAGCAAGTGGAAAATCATGGTCAGGGTAAGGCTCGCCCAAAAGTCGGTCCGAAGGCCGTATCGCTAGGGGAGCTGGCATCCCGCGGGGGGG